AATCCACCTTTGTGCAATCTAAGTGTCACATGATCTGTCACATGATCTCAGTATATATACACCTGTTTTGAAAGCCCAGAGTCTGCAACACCACTAAGCAAGGGGTACCACCAAGCAAGCGGCACCATGAAGACCAAGGAGCTCTCCAAACAGGTCAGGAACAAAGTTGTGGAGAAGTACAGATCAGGGTTAGATTATAAAAAAATATCTGAAACTTTGAACATCCCACGGAGCACCATTAAATCCATTATTTAAAAATGGAAAGAATATGGCACCACGACAAACCTGCCAAGAGAGGGCCGCCCACCAAAACTCATGGACCAGGCAATGAGGGCATTAATCAGAGAGGCAACAAAGACACCAAAGATAACTCTGAAGGAGCTGCAAAGCTCCACAGCGGAGATTGGAGTATCTGTCCATGGGACCACTTTAAGCCGTACACTCCACAGAGCTGGGCTTTACGGAAGAGTGGTCAGAAAAAAGCCATTGCTTAAAGAAAAAAATAAGCAAACACGTTTGGTGTTCGCCAAAAGGCATGTAGGAGACTCCCCAAACATATGGAAGAAGGTACTCTGGTCAGATGAGACTAAAATTGAACTTTTTGGCCATCAAGGAAAAAGCTATGTCTGGCGCAAACCCAACACCTCTCATCAACCCGAGAACACCATCCCCAAAGTGAAGCATGGTGGTGGCAGCATCATGCTGTGGGGATGTTTTTCATCGGCAGGGACTGGGATACTGGTCAGAATTGAAGGAATGATGGATGGCGCTAAATACAGGTAAATTCTGGAGGGAAACCTGTTTCAGTCTTCCAGAGATTTGAGACTAGGACGGTGGTTCACCTTCCAGCAGGACAATGACCCTAAGCATATGGCTAAAGCAACACTTGAGTGGTTTAAGGGGAAACATTTAAATGTCTTGGAATGGCCTAGTCAAAGCCCAGACCTCAATCCAATTGAGAATCTGTGGTATATCTTAAAGATTGCTGTACACCAGCGGAACCCATCCAACTTGAAGGAGCTGGAGCAGTTTTGCCTTGAAGAATGGGCAAAAATCCCAGTGGCTAGATGTGCCAAGCTTATAGAGACATACCCCAAGAGACTTTCAGCTGTAATTGCTGCAAAAGGTGGCTCTACAAAGTATTGACTTTGGGGGAGGGGGGGTGAATAGTTATGCACGCTCAAGTTTTCTGTTGTTTTGTCTAATTTCTTGTTTGTTTCACAAAAAATATTTTGCATCTTCAAAGTGGTAGGCATGTTGTTTAAATCAAATTATACAAACTAAATCTATTTTAATTCCAGGTTGTAAGGCAACAAAATAGGAAGAATGCCAAGGGGGGTGAATACTTTCGCAAGCCACTGTATGCCCTCGCAGGCCCACCCATTGGCTGCGCCCCTGCCCAGTCATGTGAAATCCATAGATTAGGGCCTAGTGAATTTATTTCAATTGACTGATTTCCTTATATGAACTGTAAATCTTTGAAATTGTTGCATGTTGCGTTTATATTTTTGTTCAGTATAAATTACACACACACACACACACACAGAGGTAGGAGGAACGCTAGGGCCACACGTGGAATCACCAAGCATAAACTGAACTGTTAGGTAGGAAGGACCATGCAGCTTCTATAGGGAAACTGGAGTGAGAAAGTCAGCGGAGAGGTGATTAAGGGAGTGGGAACAGGTGTGGAGGGAAGGGGCATGGCCTAGGTCCTAGGGTAATTGGAAGCAATTGGAGTCCTTTGGGGGTGCCATGACCCTTCACAACATCCACACTTAAAATAATTTTTGCAACTATTTCAATGTAAATGTAACTACAGTACATCTATAATATGTACATCTTGGCGCACACAATAAAACCTTCCCATTTACAAAACATGTAGGTCTGCATGGTCACATGTATTCTGTTGATATTTAATTATAGCACTAGCACTGACCGAAAGAGAAACCAAACAGGAAGAGAGTTCAGTGGCAGTTTGTGGGGTCACAGGTTCATGGATCATCCCTGTTTAAGTGGAGTGAGTGTCTGCCTCCCTGAAGATTGGATAGTACATCTGGGTCACTACTGTGAAGCTTTGCAGAGCAATGCTACAGGCTGAGTCGTCAAAAGATAAATAAATAGTGTCTCTTTTATCAAGTTTAAATCACTTAAGGGCTTTTATAACTGACACTTCCAATAAATCCTGGGATTTAAAATAACTAATTGACCGGCAGTAGAATATTGCTGTCAAGGGCCAATGGGTTTGGACAAGAATGCAGGCCTAATCAACAATAATAGGTGATGTTTTTAGTGAATATGCATATTGGAGATGTTTTTGTTGACATGAAGGAAAATAAAAGATGAAGGGCCCCCAACCCCAGTGATTTACATTTAAGTGGCCTAAAGCCTACGTATTTACAATGTAGTTACATAGGCAGCAGGTACTGTGTAATTACATTGTAGGTATAGTTATGGTACTTACAACTGTGATGTATTTGTGGTTTGTGCAATTTGGTGCAATTTACATTGCCATTTCATGCATAAGATTTTGTAACAAACCCAAATTATTGTGGCTAAACCTCTCCTCACCCTGTTTCAGATCACCTGGTTGTATCTTGAGTTTATTTGCATTACGTTTAAATTGTGCAAGCCAAAAACAGGTGTAGGCTAGTAGTTATACTATGTAATAATGTGTACACTGTAATTACTCTGTAGGCTACATATGTTATATACAGTGCATTCGGAAAGTATTCAGACCCCTTGACTTTTTCCACATTTTGTGACGTTACAGCCATATTCTAACATGGATTCAATAGTTTTTCCCCCTCATAAATCTACACAAAGCAAAAAACGTTTTTTCTCTCTCAATTTGAGAAAATAAAATTAAAATTAAAAACGGAAATATAACATTTACATAAGTATTCAGACCCTTTACTCAGTACTTTGTTGAAGCTCCTTTGGCAGCGATTACAGCCTAGAGTCTTGGGTATGATGGTACAAGCTTGGCACACCTGTATTACCCCATATGTAACTCTGTGTTGTTGTTTTTATCGCACTGATTTGCTTTATCTTGGCCAGGTCGCAGTTGTAAATGAGAACTTGTTCTCAACTGGCTTACCTGGTTAAATAAAGTTTAAATAAAATAAAAAAATTAATTGGTGGAGTTTCTCTCATTCTTCAGGCCAAAGAGTTCAATCTTGGTTTCATCAGAACAGAGAATCTTGTTTCTCATGGTCTGAGAGTCTTTAGGTGCCTTTTGGCAAACTCCAAGTGGGCTGTCATGTGCCTTTTACTGAGGAGTGGCTTCCGTCTGGCCACTCTACCACAAAGGCCTGATTGGTGGAGTGCTGCAGAGATGGTTGTCCTTCTGGAAGGTTCTCCCATCTCCACAAAGGAACTCTGGAGCTCTGTCAGAGTGACCATCGGGTTCTTGGTCACCTCCTTGACCTAGGCCCTTTTCCCCCGATTGCTCAGTTTGGCCGGGCGGCCAGCTCTAGGAAGAGTCTTGGTGGTTCCAAACTTCTTCCATTTAAGAATGATAGAGGCCACTGTGTTCTTGGGGATCTTCAATACTGCAGACATTTTTTGGTACCCTTCCCCAGATCTGTGCCTTGACACAATTCTGTCTCGGAGCTCTACTGACAATTCCTTCGACCTCATGGCTTGGTTTTTGCTCTGACAACTGTGGGACCTTATATAGATTGGTGTGTGCCTTTCCAAATAATGTCTAATCAATTGAATTTACCACAGGTGGACTTCAACCAAGTTGTAGAAACATCTCAAGGATGATCAATGGAAGCAGGATGCACCTTAGCTCAATTTCAAGTCTCATAGCAAAGGGTCTGAATACTTATGTAAATACGTATTTTATTTTATTTTTTACATTAGCAAACATTTCTAAAAACCTTTTTTTGCTTTGCCATTATGGGGTATTGTGTGTAGATTGATGAGAAAAAAAATCACATAGCCTACCTTTATAACAATACTAGTAAAAGTGTGTGTGTGTGTGAGAGAGAGGTAATTTTGTCATTCTGCACTGATTTAATAACTTTTTTTTAAAAAGGAACCATCATACAAATCAAGTAGGTTATCTAGGGCTAGGGCTAGGCAAACAGGACTTCATTAAAGTTACAGATAGTTCAGTGTTTCCCAAGCAGGGGTACTTGGCCTATCCACAGGGGGTACTGTCTCCCGAGTGGCGCAGTGGTCTAAGGCACTGCATCACAGTGCTAGCTGTGCCACTAGAGATCCTGGTTCGAATCCAGGCTCTGTCGTAGCCGGCCGTGACCGGGAGACCAATGGGGCGGCGCACAATTGGCCCAGCGTCGTCTAGGGTAGGGGAGGGAATGGCCGGCAGGGATGTAGCTCAGTTGGTAGAGCATGGCGTTTGCAACGCCAGGGTTGTGGGTTCGATTCCCACGGGGGTATGAAAAAATTAAATAATGTAAGTCGCTCTGGATAAGAGCGTCTGCTAAATGATGTAAATGTAAATGTACTTGAGAAGACTCATGAGACCATAGGCTTACTGGTAAAATGTACATGAGGTGGTACTTCAGGGGTACTCCAGGCAGAGCAAAATACTCTTGGTGGTACAATAACCGAAAAAGAATGGGAACCACTGCCCTATTTTAGAGACTCTTTAGAATGCATGTACGGATGTAGGCCTACATTCATTGTCATCAAGAGCAGCCTTGTCAAAGTCCGACATAAAGGAAATGATGCTGCATTCAAAACAACTAGGAACAGGGAAATCTCCGACTTCCGAGCGTTCAAAACAACTGGGAACAAAAACAAAAAACTAGCTTCGATTGGGTAAAATCGTTTTGAACGGTCATCCAACTCGGAATCTCTGGCATATTTTTTTAGCTCTGACTTTCCGATCTTTCAGAGTTCCCAGTTGTCTTGAAAGCACTATAAACCCTAACCTTAACCATTTGAAACGTCAACGTCAATAGGGTAGGGACGTCCTAAGGATACCGGAGAGCACAGACCATGAGTCATAGGAAGTAGAGACCCGATGACGTCAACCTTTATTTGTTATGCTATTTTCTCATTTGGTCTTCCCGGATGTGATTGCGACATGTTTACAGAATGCGTATAAAAAGGGGTGAAGCACTTTATAAAGTTATTGCGCTGCCCGCTACCAACGCGAATGTAATTCCGCACGAGCTGGAATCCTAAACTTATTGCAGGGGGGTCAACTCCTAAGAAGCGAATGAAGAAACAGGTTTTGCTTCTATTTACATTCAGAGGACTTGTAAGAAAAGGAAAAAAGAGTAAAAGAAGAAAATGTCAAATTTCTTATTACGGAAAGCCGAGCCCAAGGACGTGTCAGACATATTGCGACTCATAAAGGTAAAAGGATGCATGCATTCAACGATTTAGCCTAAGTGTTTTTTTATGAATCACAGACAGCCTAAGCATATTTTTCAATATTATTACATTTGACTAACAACAATAATGAATTTTTTTTAATTCCCTATTATTTCAGGAACTTGCGAAATTTGAAAAAATGGAAGAGCAGGTCATCTTGACCGAGAAAGGTAAGCCTACTTGTATGTGTGTGTTGACTGATTTATTGTAAACATAAAATGTTTCCCCAACAAATCATAAGTTCCTGACCTTACAATTCACTTTCAGAACTACTGGAGGATGGCTTTGGGGATCATCCATTCTACCATTGCGTCGTTGCGGAAGTTCCTGAGGATAAGCAGAGCTCAGACGGTAAACCATGTTGTAATTCTGTTTACATAATGTCAGTTTGTAAGGAAATTGTGCAAATGTTTGACAATCAAGATTCCAAACATTTATGGGTAGTAAAAAATAAGGGACGCGCTGCGGGTACACAATAGTACGTTTTGGTAGACACAATGTATGGGGTAGTGTTGGTGTGCATAACTCAAAGTGAATCATGATCTGGAGTTTGGAATTTCATCTTCTCAATTCTCGAAGACACTCCTTTTAAATCCTCATAGTGATATCATAACTAGGGCCCGAGTTTTTCCTGACCATGAAAATCTCCTTTATCATCATAACACAAAAAGATCATACTCAATAATCCAAGTGGGGTTTTGTGTCAGATCCTAGTAGATTTACACAAACACTTACCTGCCGGTTTTGATGTGGCTGTTTTCACTGTGTTTTAGGATACACAGTCATTGGGTTTGCCATGTACTACTTCACCTATGACCCCTGGATAGGGAAGCTGCTCTACTTAGAGGACTTCTATGTGATGAAGGAGTTCAGGGGTAAGTCTAGTCTAATGTGTGGTGTGTTACATAAAAAAATAAATAGGGGTGCTTATATTTGTCTTGTTTCACACATGTACAAGTGTGTGTGTAGTGTGAAATGGAATTGTGTTTTTTGCATATCCCACACCCCCTGAGACACACTCGGAAAGGGGGGGGGGGGGGGGTCACAGCCAGGGACCAGCCATTATTGACAGCGATCCTGGAGCAATTAGGGCAGGGTTTCCCAAACTCGGTCCTCGGGACCCCAAGGGGTGCACATTTTGGTTTTTGCCCAAGCAAAAACAGCTGATTCAACTAATCATCAACTTTGATCATTTGAATCAGCTGTGTAGTGTTAGGTCAAAATCCAAAACATGCACCCCTTGGGGTCCCGAGGACCGAGTTTGGGAAACGCTGGGTTAGGATTAAGTGCCTTGCTCAAGGGCAGAGTGTCAGATTTTTCGCCTAGTCGGCTTGGGGATTCGAACTAGACACCTTTCGGTTACTGGCCCAACGCTGGCAACTGAATCACGGTCCATGGATCAGGGCTTAACTACCAATCTAATCTTTGATCCTGTTTTCTCAGGTTCTGGTATTGGGTCAGATATCCTGAAGGTTCTGAGTGAGGTAAGTCTCCTGTACTTTTTTTGCAATCAATTTACTGAAAGCACATTTGCTTTTCCAAATCATGGAAAAATCCAGCCTATGGAAAACTCCATCATATAGTGAAGGCTAGATGATGACCCTGTCTAACTTTGTCTATTGTCCTCCCTTCCTCAGACGGCAGTTAAGACTCGCTGTAGTAGCATGCACTTCATCGTAGCAGAGTGGAACAAGCCATCCATAGAGTTCTACAAGCGCCGTGGAGCCTCAGACCTGTCCGATGAGGAGGGCTGGCGACTCTATGCGATTGAGAAGAATGACCTGCTGAAGATTTCTGCAAAGAAGCGATAAATTCAGCAAATGACCACTGATTACTAACGGCAATGCCTTCCCCTTTTGTTTGTTGATGTCAATGTTCTTAAAAAAAATGTATTTCAATAAATAAATACGTAAACAGTTTGTTCAACTTCTTCCTGCAAGAGCTGTTATATCTGGGTGGTTTTGAAACTCGGAAGTCAGCAAGTTTCAGTTACTCTTGTCTGATAATGGTTAATGAGTGACCTTCCATAAACAAAAAGGAGAACTATCCTAGTCATGTGACCTTGTACTGGAACATAGAATAATTTAACATGAATCAGCATGTATAGATAGTTTATGAGAACTAACTTTTTCTTCCGACCATAACGTCTGGCTCAGAAGGAGAAGTGGGTGCTTGTTTATGGAAGGACCGACTTAACTGTCTTGTCAAACAAGTTTTGCTTCACGTATTTGTCCTCACACGCTTAGGGTGCCTATGTACAATACCTCTACAGTTTTCTGTGGACTTTTATTTTAAAAAGCCATGCTGTCAATTTAGATTTTATTCAAGTCTGCATAAATACATTCAAATCACAAAGCCGACCCTTCAATACAAGTTTAAACCTTAGTGATAGGTTCTGGCCCCTCCTGGGTAAATGCCAGAGAGAAAGGCTAGTGCAAAAGCTGGTCATTGGTCACAAATCGGAGCAAGCCTAACCATGACTTATAGTAGCATACATTGGGAGGAGTTGGGAAGACTGCTAATCTTGTGTTGTCCTGATCCTAGTATCACAACGTATCTGAAAAGAGAGAACTCATCGTTAGCCTTTTATCTGCAAGACTTTGCTAGCATTAGCACCTGATATGTAAAGTACACTGGTTTGTTCTCTGCTCTCACAAAATAACATCTTAAAGTTGGTATAAATGTTAGTATAAAGGATTTACAATGAATTGACAACATTTGTGGCAAGTTATTGGAGTGTTACATAAGCCTGCAGGTTGACCACTAGGGCAATGATTAAAGTGTTGGGTGCTGGCAGACTGTTATTGTGCAGAAAAGTTCAGGTTTGTTGTACCTGCTGCGATCAGGGTTTGGCCTCTGCAGCTCTTCTTATCTGGTTTCTTCTAGTTTATTTTCCTCTGGTTTCTCTTTTTTTACTGGCTGTGGAAGGATCCATGGTAGGATGTGAAAATTCAGACTTGACAACCCAATCCAAATAATCTGTACTGATCTGCACAGTAATTCTGTACCATCTCCATCCTCAGGATCAAACTAGTTTTTGACCTGACAGGATGAGCTCACCTTCCCCTCCACTGACTTGAAAACGTTCTCTACGTTAACGTAGCCCTGCAGGGCGAAATCGTACAACGAGTCTCCTGTGTTCTGTGGGAAGGAGGGGGACCGAAAAATAGGTTTAAGCAAAATAGTATACATTAAGAATCCAACATCACAGGATTAAGAATGACCCTACAACACTGTCTTATGTCTTGGTATGGAACAATATGCATTGTCTCCCACACGTAGGTAAATAAAAAAAAACACAACATATGACATATTGACACGCTCACTCACCTTGGCGATTGATGCGGCTTGCTGGGGGTAGTACATAGAGTAGCCCACAGCCATCAGTCCTGTAGGATAGATCAGCTTTTTCACCCTGGAGCCTAGAAGACAGAAGAGAGTGGACCACATAAACTATTTCTATTCAAGGAGATTAGAAACAAGAAAGGGAAGCCGGAGAGGGCAACAGGAAGCACCAGTAGGTTTGAGATTTGTACCCCGGCCTTGTATGGTCTGGACACTACAGCTCTACCACTCGACCAGCCTCTGGCACAGAGACTTACAGAGTGCTTGCTTACCACAAGAACAAGTGGATAAACCCCAAAACAATAGAGATCAAAAACAGGGTACACTTCATCCAAACCCAAAACTTACACCCACTATTTACCTCTTGCAAGAAAGAGTCCAAGGATACCAGCAAATCCAATGACCCCAGCCCGGGGGTAGAATTCAGCAGGAGGGTTTTGTAGGAATGTGAAAGTTTCTGAAACAACAGAAAGTAACTCTGTTACCAAACTGAAACTGACATTCTATTTGTACAAATGGGTATACATTACAGTGTATGAGTAATGTGTGCACTTTATGTGTATCATGGGGTGTGTGTTCTCTTACCATTTCCTAATTGGATGGCACTTTCAACCTTGGGCTTCACTTTTCCAATGGCACCCTGAATCCCACAGGAGAAGAGGACAGTACAGTGAACACATAACATACATCAGTTCATTATCTGCACATTGAGAGCCATTCAGTAATGGATAAATGCTCATTTTTCATTGTTACAGAACAAGTTGACATTTAATAATATGATAATATGATATTTCACAGTAAATATGCTCTTGCTAGGTAGTCTTCAATTCAAGTTTACTGTGCACTTGTGATGCTTTATATTGTTTGTATTGTGATTGTTATAGTGGTAGTATAACTAGTGGTAGGACTGCTATGCCCTTAGAACCCTCATCCAGTTCTGTTTGCCTACAAAGAGAACTGTCTTTATTTACCCTGCAATAGAGTTAGAATGACCTACAATACAACGTTTTACTTTGCTGTTTACAATCCATATTTGTAAATTGGGTTTTATTGCCTAAAGCACAAGTCAATCTGTCACCCAGTAGGGAGCTCTAGTTGAAACATCAACCAACAGCACATTGTGTACCATTGACACGTTGTAAAGACATTCTGCACTGCAAAAGAGCAACTACCAATAAAGTTCCAACCACTGCACTGTACTGACAAACATGCGCTGTATGTTAATGAGCTGCTTATCTCCGGACTGAAGGAGCCAATGGGGCAGAGGTCAGGTGGGTGACTTAGAAGCAGTGATCACAGCCACAAACAGAAGCTTCTAGAGCAGAAATGGAACAGCCTGGCCGAGCACAAATGGAGAGGCTGAATGGGTTTTAAAAATGATTTACAGAGTACTTTACCAGTCTCTTAGACATAACAACTAATCAGATTAATCTCAATCCCCCTCTGTGAGTTTACGATGATGTGTGTGTGTGTGTGTCATCACGCAACAGACGTCATCAAAGCGCGCAACAGAACAGTGTACTGTCTACACTCGTTTTTTTGGTTTTATGAAATAGTTTTAATTAAATCGTTTTTAATCATAGGTAAAGTTTGTATTGCTACAGATTCTGCGACGCGGTCACCCTTTACGGCTGGAACCGCAAGTTGTGTCCCAGATTCCTGTTACGCTAGCAGTGCTAGCCCACCGGTGTTTTTATCCATCCCTGGGCACAAATGCGTCAGGTGTGAGATGTTCTCTTTCAAGTATTAGTTTCGGTATTTCACTTATGGGATACGCCCCCAGTGTATTCGTCAGAAGCCTTTATTACACTACGCCTGCCATGATTGGCTGGATGTCGAGATGTGTGCGTCGGGGAAGGATGTCCCTCCTACCCTATAAAAGGTCCGACACAGCGTCTCTGAGTCATTCAAACACCTCTTCTCGCTTTTCATCAGAAAGCTTACCTCGACACGACTGCATTTTCCTGAAATAGCTAAATTGTCCACAGACGTGAGCTTACAATTAGCTCGCCAGGCACTATTCTCGGGATTGTGCGGTGGTGACAATTTTCCTTTCCCTTCACCATAGCTAGAGGAAAATTATTCACTGGGTACAGCTGTGACACGGCTAATTTGTTCACTTTTTTTATTTTTTACTTCGGCAACAAAAGTCTTTACTAGCTACACCAAGCTATCTTTTCTAACCTGACCATTCGGAAACAGTATCTGGCCATCACACCGAGTGCCACCGTCGGAGATAACCCATTAATCGCTAGTTATTGGACTAGCCTACCACGCTAGTTTTTTCTGACAGCTAAAAACATAGCATCCAAGCTATGGCGATGAAAGCATCTGCCACCCCAAACGAGGAGAAGCTCTCGGCACGAATCTGCTCTTGTGGAAACATGATATCGGCCAAGGACACCCACTCGGTGTGCTCCACTTGCCTTCGGCTGCAAAATGCCCAGGAAGCATTAGCCTCCCCTGGCTCCTGTCCACACTGTGCCTTCTTCACTGTGAAGAGCATCCGTCGCAGGCTAGCACGACAAGCAAGCCTGAGTCAACAGGACCCTAACATGGGGGCCGGCGTCCCCTGAGGTGATGGATATCCCCACGGGAGATCGTGGAGCGACGGCTAGCATTAGCTGGGGCAACCAGCTCGACGCCATTGCCCCGCTGTTGGAAGACTCCAGTAACGACCTCGCAACCCCCCTGTCGGGCTTCCTGATTGGAGATGACAACGACTCCACAGGTTTTTCCGACAGTCTCCTTTCGGAATCACCAGATGGAGACGAAGAATCCTTCATCCCCTCAGGCCAGGCCACCAAGCCTCCTGCCGGGGAATCCGAAACCGGACATGCAGGCGGGGCGCAATCCCCACCAGCTCTCGGTGTGGACCTGCAGGACGTGTGCAAACGCGCTGCGAGTAAACTTTTGATTCCCTGGCCCAATTCAGTAGCAGAGACCACCATGTCCCGCTACGAGGGTAAGAGGCTACCCAAAGCCAAATGGGCAGCCAGGCAATTACTGCCAGTCTTCCCAGAATGACTGGAGGAGGTTACCCGTACTTGGAGTACACCTTTCTCCTCCAAGAACCCTGTCCAAGGTGGGTCGGAGTTGGACTGTGTTGACATGATGGGGATTGGGCTTGCCCACATGCCCCCCATCGAACTCCTGGTGGTTTCCCATCTACACCCCAGCCAGAAGTCCTCCATGACCTCGACTGGCCCCACCTTACCAACCAAGTACGAGCGCTTCCAGTCCTCTGCGACAGAGAAGGTCTACAGGTCGGTTGCCACAGCGGTGAGGGCTCTCAGCACTGCCTCCATGCTCTCGGCATACCAAGCTAAGCTACAGGAGGAGCTAGCGGTCACACCAGAGCCGGGTCTATGGGATGAGATCTGTATTGCTCATGATATCCCAGGAAAGGGCTCGATGGCTCAACCTATCCACGGTGTCTGATAGTGAGAAGCTGAAGATCCTGGATGCTCCAGTAGACCCTAAAGGCCTTTCCCGTCACACCGTTAAGATGATGCAGAAACGGTGCGAGGAGAAAAAGAGGGAAGACACAGCCCAGTGCCTCCCCTGTGCCTCGCCGCACCTTCGCCCAGGCTGGAGCGGGTCGACCCCCCCTCAAACTTTAAGATCCCCAGGCGCCCAGGTCCCCAGGCTGCGATCCCAGGGCAGCAGAGAACCTCGGACCCTTAGGGCCCCTGGTCTAAGAAGCCCCCCTTCCCATCCATGGCACCAAGAGGCCAGCCTGCCCCTAACCCCACCCAGGGGGTAGGGAGGAAGAAGCGAATGGCCTAGTGATGTCCCCATCGCCAGAGAGGCGAGAACAGTCTCCCCCAAGCACTGTTCTATCCCCTCCTCCAATCCTGAGCCTGTTCCAGGGTGCAAGTTCCCAGGCACTTCAGTGTTCTTTCCGGCGTACCGGGCCCAAGTTCGTGGTCACAGAGTACAGCCCAAAGAGGAGAAGAGACAATGTTCAGATGGATGCCCCTATAAGGCCCCCCTCTTGTCTCACAAACACTAGCCAATGTCAGTTCACATAAAAAATGTTAACACTAGCGCAACCAGGCTACAGGCCAAGCGCGCAGTCAGACATGTTGTTTCTCTAAAAATCTAAACAAACAGGGTGCCTCCCTATAATGCCACCAGAGGGAGCTACCGCTCCTTCTATGGTGACAGGCCACATAAGCGCTCTCCCGCTACATTTTTACATTTACATTTTAGTCATTTAGCAGACACTCTTATCCAGAGCGACTTACAGTTAGTGAGTGCATACATTTTTCATACATACGCTACGAAGCCGGACATGCGCAGTGCGTCACGAACTGTCATATACCAAACTGGGTACAGGGTATGATAGACAGGGGATACAGACTACAATTCACTGTCACCATGCCTCGATTCATGGGAACCATATACACTCAGGCTCAGGGGGAATCAGCGTGTGTACTCCAGGAGGAAATCACATCGCTAATAGGGAAAAGGGCAATAAGAATTGTTCCTCCCGAGCAAAGCCACTGTGGTTTTAACTCGAGATATTTCCTGGTTCCAAAAAAGGGGGGCGGCACACGCCCGATCTTAGATCTACGTGCTCTAAACAGGCACATGAGAAAGTACACGTTCAGAATGTTGACACACACTGCTCTGCTACGTTCTGTGCACCCAGGCGATTGGTTCGTATCCGTCGACCTGAAGGACGCTTACTTTCAAATCTCAATATACCCCCCTCAGAGGAAATTTCTCAGATTCGCTTTTCAAGGCGTTATCTACAAATTTCTGATGCTCCCTTTCGGCCTCTCTGTCACCTCGTGTTTTTACGAAGTGTACCGAGGCAGCCATAGCCCACAAGAGAGGGGCATTCGGCTCATGACGTACATAGACGATTGGCTGCTGTGCAGGCAATCAAGACAAGAGGTCTTATAAAACATTCAGCTATTATTGGAACACCTGACATTTCTAGGTTTCAGAATAAACACAGTAAAGAGCGTTCTGATTCCCACGCAGACAATCTCGTTCCTAGGTTTAATCCTGGATTCGGTATCTTTCAAAGCTTGCCTTTCTGAGTACTGAATCTGGGGGCAGATTTACTTTCCAGGTGGAACCCTCCATACGGAGAGTGGAAGCTTCTCCCGGAAGTATCCAATCAGGTTTGGATGCACTTCGGCATTCCAGTAGATGGAAAATACTCAGTGTCCATTGTTCTTTTCCCTGAGGGATCAGGAGGCACCGATGGGAGTGGACGCGTTGGCGCACGAGTGGCCACGCGTCCTCCTGTATGCATTTCCCCCACTGGCCCTGATTTCCCCCACCTTAGCCAGGGTGCGGGATAAGGCTCTATCTCTCATACTAATAGCACCACATTGGCCAGGGAAACACTGGCTAGCGGAGATCACTCAACTGCTATGCGGCCATTATTGGGTATTTTTCTGTAGACTATATATTAAACATAGTAAATCTTTTGTATTTTTCAGGAGAACTATATATTAAACATAGTACATCTTTTTAGACTATAAAGTTAAAACCTAGTTAATCATAAAGACAAGCAGTACAACTAAGTGAATACAGAGGGTGGTACAGAGTGATACAAAGTGTGGTACCGATTGGTACACAAGGAGGGAGCCTGAGCCAGAGTCAGGACATGGCTCCTGGGAATGGGCCTGCTCATTCTTACTATGTGTGGGAAATATACACTAT